GAAGGGCCTGTACTGCGCTGTAATGTTCTATGTTCTATGTTCTATGAGGTTACTGTGCTTTATAACCCAAAGACAAATGTGAACAGAACACATATATGCTAGATCTGATGGAATGCCATCATATTCAGTGCTCAATCTGAGGGAATGCGGGTGGGTGTGATTACTGCTGGATCTGCGGGAATGCAAGAGTGTTTGAAGTTAGATCTGAGGAAATGCTGGATTTTTGAGAATGTAATTGTGTTCAATGCTGGATTTGTGGGAATGCGAGCGTGTTCACTGCTGGATTTGTGGCAATGATAGTGCGTTCAATGCTGGATGAGAACATTAAACATAGAAGCAGAATTAGGCAATTTGGCCCATTGAGTCTATTCCACCATTCGATCAGGGCTGATATGTTTCTCAGCCCCATTCTCCTGCCTTCTCCCTATATCCTTTGATCCATTTATTAATTAAGAACCTAACTAACTGTCTTAAGTACACTGACCAACTTAGCCTTCACAGCCTTCTGTAGCAATGAGTTTCACTGCCCTCTGACTCAAGAAATTCCTCCTCATCTTAGTTTAAAAGGTTGGGCCTTCAGTCTGAGACTGTGCCCTCAGGTCTTAGTATCTTCCATGAATGGAAATATCTTCTCCATGCCCACTGTATCAGGCTTCTTAGTATTCTGTCAATTCCTATGAGATACACCTCTCATCCTTCAAAAATCCATCAATACAGATTCAGAGTCCTCAACCACTACCCATATGACAAGTCCTTCATCCCTGGGATCATTCTTATAAACTTCCCCTGGACACCCCTCCAATGCCAGCTCATCCTTTCTTAGATATGGGACCTAAAACTACTCACAGTATTCCAGTTGCAGTCTGACTAGAGCCTTATACAACCTCTGCTCTCATATTGTAGCTTCTTGAATTGGTACTAACATTACAATTGCCTTTCTAACTGCCATCTGAGCCTGCATGTTAACCTTAAAAGAATCCTGAACTCTGATTCCTAAGTCTAGATTTCCAAAGCCTTTCCCCTTTAAGAAAATAATCTATGCCTCCAATCTTCCTGCCAAAGTGCATCATACTTTTCCATCTGCCACTTCCACATTCCTGGCCTGTCCAAGTACTTCTGCAGCCACCCTGCTTCCTCAATGTTATCTGTCCCTCCATCTATCTTTGTAACATCTGCAAACTTGGCAACAATCCCTCAGTTCTTATCCAAATTGTTCATGTATAATATGAATAGTTGTGGTCCCAACACTGATCCCTAGTCAGCGGCTACCATTCTGAAAAAGATCCCTTTATCCCTACTCTGCCTTATGCCTTTCAGCCAATCCTCTATCCATGCCTTTACTTTGCCGCTAACACCATAGGCTCTTAACTTTTTTAGTAGCCTCCTAAGCAGCATCTTATCAAAAGCCTTCTGTAAATCCAGGTAGATGATGTCCACTGCTTCTCCTTTGTCTAACCTGCTCAGTAGCTCCTCAAAGAATTTTAACAGGTTTGTCAGGTATGACCTCCTCTTAATGAAGCCATGTTAACTCAGCCCTTTTTTTTACCATAAACTTCTAGTTACTCCATATCTCCTCTTTAATAATGGACTCTAAAACCTTACCAACGACCAAGATAAGGCTAACCAGCCTATAGTTTGCCACCTTCTGCCTCCTTCCCTTCTTCAGCAGGAATGTTACATTAGCCATTTTCCAGTTCTCTGTGACCCTGCTTGATTCCTGTTATTCCTGAAAGATCACCACCAACGTCTCCATAATCTCCTCAGCTATCTCCTTCAGAACTCTGGTCTGGGTGATTTATCCACCTTCTGACTTTTCAGTTTTCCCAGTACCTTCTCTTCAGTGATATCCACTACCCTTACCTCTGACCCATAAGTCTCTTGAAGTTCTGGTATGTCGCTGGTGTCATCCACTATGAAAACTGAAGCAAAGTACCTATTCAGTTCCTCCACCATTTGTTTGTTCTCCTTTACTAATTCTCCAGCCTCATTTTCCAATGGCCCAATGTCTAATCTTGTCTCTTTTAGATATCTGAAAGAAACTGTTGCAATCTTCTTTAATATTACATTGCTGCGCCATATCGCCACCCTTTTAACATTTTCCATGCAATTGAATCCACCCTCCCCGACTAGTTAGTTCAAAGCCCTATCCACAGCCCTAGTTATGTGGTTCGCAAGGATTCTGGTCCCAGCATGATTCAGGTGGATCCCATCCCATTGCCCAGGACCGTTAAGAAACTACAGAAGGTTGTGTGCGTAGCCCAGACAAACACGGAAGCCGTGGACTCATTTATATCTCTCATTGCTGTGGAAATGCTGCCAACATCATCATAGACCCATCCCACCCCAGTAATGCTCCCCTACAACCTCTTCTGTCATGCAGAAGATACAGAAGCTTGAACACATGCACCAATAGGTTCAAGAACAGCTTCTTCAGTGCCATTATTAGATTGATAAATAGACTCCCTAATGTTCAAATGATTCAAATAATGTTGACCTTGTTAAGGTTGATCTTGCCACGCGCACGTCCTGTGTGGTGTAACCTGTATGCCTCACCCTGTCCAAGTTTTTCACCCTACAATCTGTATGTCTTTGCTTACTATGATCTGCCTGTACCTCTCGCAAACAAAGTTTTTCACTGTACTTAGGTACACATGATAATAAATCAAATCTAATCAAATTAAATTAAATCAAATCAAATCACAAGCTTCAAAATCTCCCCTCCCCCGACTGCATCCCAAAACCAGCCCAGCTCGTCCCCACTTCCCTAACCTGTCCGTCTTTTCTCCCACCTATCCACTCCTCCCACCTCCAGCCCCACCCCCACCCCCACCTCCTACCTACCAGCCTCATCCCGCCTCCTTGACATGTCCATCTTCCCTGGACTGACCTACCCCCACCCTAACTCCCCACCTACACTCACCTTTACTGGATCCTCTTTGACCCGTCTGTCTCCTCTCCACCTATCTGCTCCTTTATCCATCTTCCATCCACCTCCCCCTCTCTCTCTCTCTTTATTTCAGAATCCTCTTCCCCTCCCCCATTTCTGAAGAAGGGTCTAGACCCGAAACGTCAGATTTCTTGCTCCTCTGATGCTGCTTGACCTGTTGTGTTCATCCAGCTCTACACCTTGTTATCTCAGATTCTCTAGCATCAGCAGTTCCCACTATCTCTAAATCAAATCAACTCTCTCTTTCCGTTGTACTGGTGTCAGTTGTCCTATGAAACCCATTCTCCAACATCAATCTTTGAGCTACACGTTTACGTCTTTAATCTTGTTGACCCTGTGCCAATTAGCTCGTGGGCTGAGATAGTAATCAAAGATTATCGCTTTTTTGGTTCTGCTTTTTAACTTAGCCCCTAAGTACTCACGTTCCCGCAGTAGAACCTCTTTCCTCTTTTTACCTGTATTATTGATACCCATGTGAACCACAACAAGTGGATCTATCCCCTCCCACTCCAAGTTCCTCTGCAGCCCAGATAAGATATCCTGAACCTGGGCACCAGGCAAGCAACACAGCTTTCAGGACTCCCAATCCTGGCCACAGAGGACAGTGTCTATTTCCCTGACTACTATCCCTGATTACAACTAAATTTCTCTTTTCCCATTCTTATGAATGGCTCCCTATGCTATGGAACTATGGTCAGTTTTCTCAACCTCCCTATAGCTCCCACTCTCATCCACACAGGAAGCAAGTATTTAAAAACTGTTAGACAAGCTAAAGGGCTGAGAATCCTTCAGCGCTGCCTCCAGAATCCCTCTACCTGCCTCGTTCGTAGTCACACCCTCCTGTCCCTGACCACTGATTTGATGCAATACAAGTGTGTTCAGCGCTTGATTTGAGAGAATGGAATCGTGTTCAATGCTGATTTTGAGGGAATGCCATTCAGTTGAATGCTGGATCTGATGGAATGAGAGGGTATTATTTGCAACATCTGATGGAATGCGATTGTGTTCATTGCTGGATTTGAGGGAATTCGAGTGCATTCACTGCTCAATCTGAGGGAATGCAAGTGTATTCAGTGCTGGATTTGTGAGAATGTGAGTGTGCTCAATGCTGAATCTGAGGGAATATGATGACTGCTAAATTTGAGGGAATACGATTACATTCAATACTGGCTTCACCTGATTGCCTGTTATTTTTCTGACTTTTAGGATAACAAATGGAGGAATCTGTTTGTTGCAAGATGAGGATCCAAGGGTGAGGACAGAAGCTGCCAAGTTTGCTACGCAGGTGTACCTGTTATCTGATAGCAGCAGTGAGCAGTTAACTCACTTTCAGCCTAACAGGGCTCTGCGCTGTCTGCTTGAGTTCCTGTTGCAGAATTGTTGGGACTGCAAGCAAATATTTGAAGTTTTGATGCAGTATGTTCCAGCTATAGATGTGGCCGCAATCTTGGTTGAACTAAGGAGTGAGAAGTAAGTTTGAATTTGATTCCTGGATGAGTATAATAGTTAAGACAAATGAGCTTTGAACCTGGATTAGTATATGGAACTGCAATGTTGTAGTCATTTAAGAAACTTGATTGAGCGAAGGGCAGGACTAGCACCTCAGCGTTCCAGGATTTAGATGTTTCAAGCTTGCTAGAGAGGGACATAAAAGGGTGGGGAAGTTTCATTACGATTAAGGAGAATTTCACAGCTGCACTAAGAGAGGACATCTTGGAGGGCTCATCCAGCGAGGCCATATGGGTACAACTCAAGAATAAAAAAGGTGCAATCACTTTGATCGGGTTATTTAATTTCCCTATTATTTACTGGGACTCCCTTATTGCCAGGGGCTTAGATTAGGGCAGACTTTAAGTGAACCAAGGAGGGATTCTTGAAACAATATGTAGATAGTCCAACGAGGGAAGGGTCCATACTAGACCTTGCAGTGGGTGATTGAAGTTTCAGTGGAGGAGCCTTTTGGGAACAGTGATCATAATTCCATAAGTTTTAAGATCATTATGGGAAAGATAACAAGAACAGAAATTGCTGGAAAAGCTGAGCAGGTCTGGCAGTATCTGTGGGGAGAAGTAAGAGTTAGCGTTCCTCAGAACTCGACCCGAAACGTTAACTCTTATTTCTCTCCACAGATGCTGCCAGGTCTGCTGAGCTTTTCCAGCAATTTCTGTTTTCATTATCTTTCCCAACTCCTATACTCAATGCACTGACCGATGAAGGCAAGTGTACCAATGCCTTTTTCACTACCCTATCTACGTGCAACTCCACTTTCAAGGAATTGTGAACCCGCGTTCCAAGGTCTCTTTGATAGGCAACACTCCCCAGGACCTTACCATTAAGTATATAAGTCATGTCCTGATTTGCCGTACTAAAATGTAGTGTCTCACATTTATCTAGATTCAACTCCATCTGCCACTGCATGGCCTGTTGGCCCATGCGATCAAGGTCCTGTTGTACTCTGAGGTAACCTTCTTCACTGTCCACTACATCACCGATTTTGGTGCCATCTGCCAAGCTTACTAGGTGTAGCTCCTACGTTCACATCCAAATAATTTATATAAATGCCAAAAAGCAGTGGACCCAGCACCAAACCTTGCAGCACACCGCTGGTCACAGACATTCACTCTGAAAAACAATCCTCCACCACCACCCTCTGTCTCCTACTTTCAAGCCAATTTTGTGTCCACATGGCTAGTTCTCCCTCTATTCCATATCATCTAACCTTGTTAACCAGTCTACCGTGCCAAACCTTGTCGAATGCCTTACTGAAGTCCATGTAGACACCACCACTCTGCCTTCATCACTTTGTCACTTCTTCAAAAAATGCAATCCTAGCTGGAGGATGGGAAAAAATTGTGGCTGTGAGAGCTGCTCTTTTTTGAGGTTCTTCCAGTGTTGGAGTTGATTTCCTTGAATTTTTGGAGCAGTAATTATTGTTTTACAAGTTGTTGCATTGTTTTGAAACTTTCGGAATAAAAAGAGGAAGAGAGACAATGCTGAGACCACATGGGAGGTGAAAAATGGAGAAGTAAACCTGCACAGCTGTGTGATCCAGCAGTGAACCTGCACAGCTGACTGCCTGTACTGTTTAGTAACAAGTATCTCTGGACATTGGAGGTAAAAATACCTGGATTATTCCCAATACCGTGAACTAGTGAGAGTAGGAGTAGGAGGATAGAGCAGATAAATGTGTGCCTGTGGAGCTGGTGTAAGGGAGAAGGATTCACATTTTTGGATCATTGGAATCTCTTCTAGGGTAGAAGTGACCTGTAAAGGAAGGACGGGTTGCACCTGAATTGGTAGGGGACTAATATGCTGGCGGGGAGATTTGCTAGAGCTGCTCCAGAGGATTTAAACTGGTAAGGGGTGGAGGTGGGACCCAGGGAGATAGTGAGAAAAGAGATCAGTCAGAGACTAATGCAGTTAGGAAAAGGAGCGAGTAAAACAGTCAGGGCAGGCAGAGAACAATTTCGGATTGATAAATTAAACTGCATTGATTTCATTGCGAGAGGCCTAACAGGTAAGGCAGATGAACTCAGGACATGGTTGGGAACATGGGACTGGGACATCATAGCAATTACAGAAACCTGGCTCAGGGACGGACAGGACTGGCAGCTCGATGCTCTAGGTTATAGATGCTACAGGAAGGGTAGAAAGGGGGGCAAGAGATGAGGTAGAGTGGCGTTTTAGAGTAGGGATAACATTACGGCTGTATTTAGGGAGGATATTCCAGGGAATACGTTCAGTGAGGTTATTCGGGTGGAACAGAGAAATAAGAAAGGGATGATCACCTTATTAGGATTGTACTATGGACACCCCAACAATCAGCGGGAAATTGAGAAGCAAATTTGTAAGATGATCTCAGTTACCTGTAAGAATAATAGGGTAGTAGTGGTAGGGGATTTTAACTTTCCAAACATAGACTGGGACTGCTGTAGTAATAAGGGCTTGGATGGAGAGGAATTTGTTAAGCGCGTACAAGAAAATTTTCTGATTCAGTATGTGGATGTACCTACCAGAGACAGAGCAGTACTTGTCCTACAATTGGGAAATACGGCAGGGCAGGTGACTGAGGAGGAGCACTTTGGGGCCAGTGACCATAATTTTAATAGGTTCAACATAGCGATAGTAAATGCTCAGCTGGATTTAGAAGTTAAAGTCCTAAATTGGAGGAAGGCTAATTTTGATGGTATTTAGCAAGAACTTTCAAAAGTTGATTGGTGGCGGATATTTGCAGGCAAAGGGACAGCTAGGAAGTGGGAAGCCTTCAAAATGGGATAACGAGCGTATACACAGTGGGCGTATTAGTGAGAAGCAACATGGTTTTGTGAAGGGGAGGTCGTGTCTCACTAACTTGATTGAGTTTTTTGAGGAAGTGATGAAGATGATCGATGAGGGTAGGGCAGTGGATATTGTCTATATGGACTTCAGTAAGTCCCTCATGGCAAGCTGATACAGAAGGTAAAGTCGCATGGGGTCAGAGGTGAGCTTGCAAGGTGGATAAAAAAGCTGGCTCGGTCATAGAAGACAGAGGGTAGCAGTGGAAGCATGTGTTTCTGAATGGAGGGCTATGACTAGTGGCGTTCCTCAGGGATCAGTGTTGGGACCTTTGCTGTTTGGAATATATATAAATGATTTGGAGGAGAATGTAACTGGTCTGATTAGTAACTTTGCCGATGACACAAAGGTTGGTGGAATTGCGGATAGCGATGAGGACCGTCAAAGGATACAGCTGGATATAGATTGGTTGGTGACTTGGGCAGCGAGATGGCAGATGGAGTTTACTGCGGAAACATGTGAGGTAATGCATTTTGGAAGGTCTAATCCAGATGGAAAATATACAGTAAATGGCAAAACCCTCAAGAGTACTGATAGGCAGAGGGATCTGGGTGTACAGGTAAACAGGTCACTGAAAGTGGCAATGCAGGTGGAAAAGGTAGTCAACAAGGCATTAGGCATGCTTGCCTTCATTGGCGGGGGCATTGAGTTTAAAAATTGGCAGGTAATGTTGCAGCTTTATAGAACCTTAGTTAGGCTGCATTTGGAATATTGTGTTCAATCTGGTCGTCACACTGCCAGAAGGATGTGCTGGCTTTGGAGAGGGTACAGAGAGGATTTACCAAGATGTTGCCTGGTATGGAGGGCATTAGCTATGAGGAGAGGTTGGAGAAACTTGGGTTGTTCTCACTGGAACGACGGAGGTTGAGGGGTGACCTGATAGAGGTCTACAAGATTATGAAGGACATGGACAGACTGGACAGTCAGAAGCTTTTTCCCAGGGTGGAAGAGTCAGTTACCAGGAGCCATGGGTTTAAGGTGAGAGGGGCAAGGTTTAAAGGTGATGTACGAGGCAAGTTTTTACACAGAGGCTGGTGGGTGCCTGGAACTTGCTGCCGGGAAAGTAGTGGAAGCAGATACTAAAGGGCGTCTTGACAAATATTTGAATAGGATGGTGCCCGGAAAGGTAGGGGGTTTTAGTTGTGATGGGCAGCATGTCGGTGCAGGCTTGGAGGGCCAAAGGGCCTGTTCCTGTGCTGTAACTTTCTTTGTTTCTTGTTCTTTGAGAGTTCAGAGACAGTATGTTCCTGTTAGATTGAAGGCAAGGCTGGTCGGTGTAGGGAACGCTGGATGACTAGAGAAATAGAGGTTTTGGTTAAGGAAAAGAAGGAGGTAAATGTCAGCTATAGACAGCAGGGATCAAGTGAATTCACAGAAGAGTATAAAGGCAGTAAGAGAGCAATCAGAAGGGCAAAAGGGGACATGGGACAGCTTTGGCAATTAGGGTTGACAACAATCCTTCGGGATTCTACAAATACATTAAGGACAAAAGGGTACCGAGGGAGAGTATAGGGCCCCTTAAAGGTCAGCAAGGTCACCTATGTGTGGAACTGCAGGAGATGAGGGAGATACTAAATGAGTATTTTGCATCAGTGTTTACTGTGGAGAATGATATGGAAACTAGAGAACTTGGGGCAATAAGTAGCGACATGTTGGAAATGTCCATATTACAGAGGAGGAGGTGTTGGATGTCTTAAAACGCATCAAGCTGGATATGTCCCTGGAACCCGATCAGGTATACCCTAGAACTTTGGGGGAAGCTAGGGAAATGATTGCTGGGCCCCTTGCTGAAATATTTGTATCATCAATAGCACAGGTGAGGTTCCAGAAATCTGGAGGTTGGCTAATGTGATGCCACTATTTAAGAAAGGTGGCAAGGAAAAGCCAGGGAATTATAAACTGGTGAGCCTGTTGGTGGTGGGCAAGTTGTTGGAAGAAATCCTGAGGGGCAGGATTTACATGTATTTGGAAAGGCAAGGACTGTTTAGGGATCATCAACATGGCTTTGTGCATGGGAAATCATAAATCACTAACTTACTTGAATTTATTGAAGAAGTAACAAAAAGGATTGATGAAGTCAGAGTGGTGGACTTGGTCTATATGGACTTCAGTCAGCAGTTCGACGAGTTTCTGCA